CTAATTAACTATAAATGAGAAAAAATGCTATTCACATAAAAAGAAAATGTTAACCTATAAATTATCCAGTGCTCCTTCCCGAGGCTGGCAACGCCTCTCACAGAAAAGCTCAGATGTTGGTGCAGTATTCTTGGCTTCCTATCCAGTTTCTGCCACCCAAAATCATTTTACACAACACATTACTCTGCCGTTTTGTACATCTGGCAACACTTACTGATACTAAGTCCTCTCCCGTGTTTTCAAGATTACACGAAGGAGGATTTCTAGGATGATTAATTGGAGAGAGAAAATCATTCCTTTATATTTCAAGGAACATTTGCAGAAGACTAATGGTCACTTAAGGAAATATGGCCTCTTTATACCCATTAATGTGTTCCAGTGCTCCCTGTGGGTCACACAATTAACCATCCCTTTGTGTTTCTTTGCTGCCATCATCCAAAATCCTCTCAGTTGTTGTCATCCGTTGAAAATCTTCTGCTTTGCCATGGCCAGATCAAAAGCACACTCAGGTTCATAGGACCGAGCTATCTAAGAGACTTTACACATTTATCCTCAAGATATATTTTTTCCCAGAGGTTCTCAACTGCATTTTGCCAAATTTGAACCTGACAACCATTTCCAAAAGTATTTATAAATACAAATAAAAATTAAAGAGAGACAGTCCTTTATTTTTAAATTCTATTCCCATGTTTTTGTGGTTTTATTCATCTCACTCTCCAGGGTTGATGGAAAGGGTTTTACAGTGCCCAGCACAATACAATTCTGATCCAGAGCTCCAGAGTACCTTGTTGCTATTGCCACTAGTGTTACCATTATTTGGAATTATAACAGTTCCAACGAAACCTGACATAACATATCCCTGTCCAGTAAACCTGTGCCCAGGTACCAGCTCACATCATGGGCACCACCAGGGATGCTGGGCCCAAGTGAAGACTGGCACTAGGCACATATGAAAGAAGTGAGCTTTCCATCACATTTTCTGTAGTTCCCTGCTCCCTGTCACTGCAGGGCTTTGGGTCAGTGTCCCGAGGTCATGAATAGGCCCCCATGGCCCAGGGACTGCTATCACACAGCGTGTTGCCCAGTTTTTGCCTTATGCTAATGAGAGCAGGTTGAGCTAGCAACAGCCTTTTGCCAGGACATTAGTGTGCACTCTGTTCTGGAGCTGCCATCTCACCAGTTCATGCTTTGATTTACCACCACCTCCATGCACTCCCTGGTGTTTACCTGAGCACTGCCAGAGCTCCAGAAGTGGCAGCGAGTTCTGTGCAAACACTGACACTGTCACCTCTGCAGCCACATCCCCAGGACACTGCCACCTCTGCAGCCACATCCCCCGGACACTGTCACCTCCACAACCACGTGCCCTGGGACACTGCCACTTCCACAACCACGTCCCCTGGGACACTGCCACCTCTGCAGCCACATCCCCAGGACACTGCCACCTCTGCAGCCACATCCCCAGGACACTGCCACCTCTGCAGCCACATCCCCTGGGACACTGCCACTTCCACAACCACGTCCCCTGGGACACTGCCACCTCTGCAGCCACATCCCCAGGACACTGCCACCTCTGCAGCCACATCCCCCAGTATCTCCCGTGTCCGAGCTCAGATGCCACAAGGAGGCTGATGCTGTTTCAGACAATGCCCCAGTCATTCAGAGGACACCAGTGCAAGGCACATGTGGTGCTGTCACCTTCCAGTGGAGATGGCTGATGCCAAGAGCAGCCTCTCTTTCCATAGGGGCAGAGGACTACAGCTGTTAGCCAACACCAGGGATGGGTATCTGCTGACAGCTGGGCTTTGTTACAGTTTCCTTTGCTACCCCTGTAACCTGTTCCAGGTATTTTATGAAGTGAAAAATATCAACACTGGGGTTTTTTTGCTCTTGATATCAGAAAACACAAACCCAAGCACAGAAGAAAATAAGAGAGAAAAAGGAGAAATGAGAAACACTGATAAAACCAGGGAGAAATGCTAGATCAAAGCTGTAGGTTTAAAGAAGAGACAAATTGCTTATCTGTTCATTCCCAGTTCCCTGAAATTGTCTCCACTTTGATGGTACTTGATCACAAGCTGAGAAGAGATGGGCCTTCCAGCTGTGAGGAGACAGCCTCATACCAGAACAGGAAAGAGAAGCATAACCTACTTGCCATTCCTGAATATAGTAAAAGAAAATTTCAGGAACAAACTGCTGGCATTTTGCTTTTGCTTTTTGCTTGCATTCCTGCATAGCAAAATCGAGACAGACTTAATGAGAATGTGTGCATTATACAGAGCAGGAAACACTGTCACCATTACATAAATTAGTGGAAATTTTTATACGTACACAATTATGCTAAAATATTCTTATTAGAGATATGTGTCAAATTCAGGAGAAGATAAAGCCATTTAATCTCTTCTTACTTTACCGTTGCTTCAGGAGGATTTATAGCACTTTGGCAGAGAATTACAAAAGTCATCCGTGTACATTCACTCATAGTTTTACCGTAATTTTCCCACAGGAAGCCTCTTGCTCTTTCCTGTGATCACTCCAAAGACTGAATCAGCACCACAGCACCTTACAGACAGACCCCCTTCACACCTATCCCCACAGTCTCACTCAGCCTTAATGCCTGCATTTTGTGTCCCCTGCGCTTCTCTGGTGCCACATCCATTCCCTGTCTCCCATTTCCCATCAGAGGCTGAGCCCATTCCTCCAACCCTCGCCAAGGGAACACCAGCCACTCCTGCCTTTTCACAAACCCCTCACTCCAGTGCCTGCACAAACCCCAATTGCTTCCTTCCCTGTTCACTGCCAAGAACCCCTTTCATCAATGGGTTTGCAGCACTAAAATTGCTAAGAATTTTAGTTAATTGGTACTAATTATAGTTAAGAGTAACTAGAGGCTCATTCACAGAGGGGAGGGAGGACTGAAGGGGGAGAAATATAATTCAGTATGCTTTCAACTCTGTACACACACTTAGCTGAGCAGGGTTAATAAGAGCATCAGCCTGGTTCCAGAGCACACAAGAGGTAAATAGAAGCCATTTTTCATGTTTTATTCTGCAGGCACAGTTTTACCAGGGCCCGTTTTACAAGTGAGGTAAATGAGTCATAGAAAAAGCAAGTAGCTTGACCAAGGCTTTGCAGTAAGACATCGGCAACACAGAGAGAGCTCTGCAGGAACTACTTTCCAGCCCACTTGACCCTCATAGGAACAAAATCTTGCCTTATTTTTATCATTATTCCTGTGTAGTAGCTACCCTCTTCTGCAGGATCAGATGTTTTAGGCTAAGCTGTGGCACAGCTGCATAATTGAATTTGAATTAATCAATCTTAAATCCCTGATTAGGTAAACACAGCAAGAAGAAAATATCTGAGGAAAAGAAAACTTCTATCAGAAATGAAATTATTACTTGAGAGGCTAACATCCTGCATCAGTTTACGAAAGATAAGATTCAACATGCAGTAGTGGAAAAATATTAGAAAGTCTATTAGGAGACACTTAGGTGAATATTGTGTTCCAACCTTTAAAATCCAAGCTGTGCCTTAAGACTGTAACTATCTTTTTGCTCCAGAACAACAACAACAACAAAAAAAATAATTGAACAACAAAAAAAAAATTGAAAGGCACAACTATTAAGCAAGGATAAAGGTTGAGTCATAAGCAAATGTCATGTTATAGATTTACCTACCAACAAGAAGGCAGCGGGGTTCAGGTCAGAGGTTAATGAAAGACATCCAAAGGTCATTCAGTGATTATGTGAGAGCATGAGTTTAATAGGGCACGGGGACGACAGACACTGACAGAAGATTTATACCAGAGGTGATGACACCGCTCCGAGTAGTGCTGATAAAAAGAGCCCCAATATGGGCCTGATCAGAATGATGAATGGTGCACAGGGCTGCTCACACTTCTCATTATAAGCTCCTTCACTCATGGTGGCACTTAGCAGCGTTTATTTACTGGGGTTTGATGGTACTGAGCAGAAGAACAGTATATCTAATACTTTAAATGTAGACTTGCCATATAAAAATGAAACAAGAGATAAGATTAGACCACTGAATAATTGCCCAGCTTTCCTGCAGAGATTATATTCACCAGTGCTAACATTATTTTTTTCCTAATGTTCTAGTGTACGAACAGCTCAAGTGAATTAATTTTCTAAGGCAGAAGGTCAAAGGAAAGTAACTGATAAGCGTTGTGCCTGCTATAGAATATCACTTTACAATATTCTCGCTTCCTCATTTATCAGATAGAGAGGAAGAGATAATATAATAAAGGTATATAAACATATTTTTTGTCACGATGAATTTAGTTTTAGTTGTCCCAAGTGCTGTTTTTCCTTGTGGCTCTAAATAGGAAGAGGATCAGAGAAGTCAGCCAAAAATGTCAAAATAAAGAAAACAAAAGAACCCGACAAAAAATCAACAACAAACCTTAGGACCAAACCCAAGGAAAACCGAGACCTGATAAATAACATGCACTGCACCAAGAAACTCCTTTTCAGACTGTTATATATTTATCAAACCACTGGAGTGTGAATTTATGAATAAGTCTTATCATCTTTCAGGCAGCAGGCACAATAAAAATTAGAACTACAGAAAATTGTGGGTATTACGAAAGGTTATTTCTAGCAGTTCATGGGTATCTGTAGATGGGAATATCACAGAAGGAAGTTCTGTACATCTTTCCACTTGCATCTTCACCCAGAGACAGAGCAGTACTGCATGATGGCACAGTTAACATTTAGCTGCACATGCAGCAACACAAATAAATTCTTACTCAGCTAAGAGGTGTTGTAAATAGTGTATGTAATTTTAAGAGGTGGAGAGCTGTAACATTCTGAGCATCCAGTATCATCTCCCTCCAAGACAGTTCATTTAATTACCTTGCCTGTGCTGCCATCATTGCTACTTCCCAATGCATCTGTATTTTACACCTGAATATGTGATAAACAGGAAAAAAAAACCCTACCTGCATTTTAGAAAGAAAGAAATCTCTGCTGAGTTACCTTGAAAATCACACAGTGGGTATCTAATACTTGAAGGGCATCTGGAGGTCCAGTAGATCCCTCAGGATAAGGGGCTCCAGAAAAACAGATGTATGTCAGGAAAAAGTTGCTGAAGTGTCACATCTAGTTAATGGAGAGAGGAATTACAGTCCTCTGCTTGACTAGGAAGAGTGAAAAAAGAAAAACCGATGTAAATAACAGCTTATCCCTGTGCAGCACATGAGAACTGTGCACTGGGTGAGCCAAAAGGGAACACAAGAGGTGCTGGCTTTGCACCAGGCTCTGTAACATGGCAAACTCCAACCTGAGAGAAAGGCATGCCTTTTGTTACCAGCCCACCAACTCACACCCCTGATACAAGTCACAGACTGGAATTTCTCATTCATCTCTTTCATCTACACCCAGAGTAGATGGATATATATATATATATAAGGACCTCTCTCAGTTTTCCAATGTTTTCCAAGTAGTGCAGAATAATTTACCAAAAATATATGTAACAAACATTTCTCAATAGCAGATTGTTTATTAATCTTCAACATCTGGGTACCTATTTTCACTATTTTTTTCATCACTAAAAATTAACAGAAATATATCAACAAGACCATTAAAATACAGTGTGTGTGTGTGAAAGGTACATTCAAATATATGAAAATCGATGAAAAGGCAGGAGGCAGAACGGTTTTGCTTTAAAGCTCTCTAGTCATCAGTGACACTCTGTCATTCAGCATGCTTTATTGTCCACTTGAATCAAATGAATAGAACAATCTAAGGGAAGCCACAGTGTTTCTTGTACACAGTGTATTTATTAGTGAGGCAGACAATAAAATGTTAGTAAAGCATCTGAAGTGGCTCTACACCAAACGAAGATGACATTTCTTACTTATGAATAAGAAAAAAAAAACCCTGAATGACAATCCTTATTTATTATGCAGAAAAAAGAGAAAGCCAGGATGACTGAAATTCTGCCTATAGAGCAAATAGAAAATGTATCAGTTTTGTAGCACAGACGCAAGAGACCAAGTTTCATCTGAAGATATAAGATGTAACATCACTGCCGGTTCTTAAGTTAAGATCACTTTTTCTGAAGCAGCAGAAATGGCAAAATATTACTCATTTTGGCCCGTGCTCTGGTTACAACCATGTAAAATGACTTCTAAATTCTCTAATAATATATAGCTAAAATCTCATCACTGGGATAAAACATGATCTTTATTCTGTTGCACCAAAAATACTGGGAAATTATCTAAAGTCCAGAAATTGTATAAGCAGATAACTCTCAAAAAGGCTACTGCATAAAATTCCCTTTTAAAAATAATATATTTGGCAACTGACACATGGCTTTGAATTTATTTGGAATGGACCTTCCTAAGACTCTAAGGATGCACGTATGAGAAACTGGTGCCCTTTCTCAAAGTAATTATGTTATCTGGAGTCCAGCATCTGCCCTGCACATCCAAACTCAAAACAAACTAATTATCAGATAATCTAATCTGCCAGATTTAGATCAAATCTCCAGAAGAACTGGTTTCTAATTGTAGGTATATGCATGTATATATGTGCATATCTGTATGGACAATATTTTTAGTTTAACACTCTGTGAATTTAATTAATTTAGTTCTTGAGAAAGCTTTCTTCAGAGAAAGGCCAGAAAAGAAAGTACTGTGACAACAGCCATAAATCCACAGCAGAAGATCAGCAGGGTAAATAGCACAGGGCACAAGTTGTATTTAAAGTGTTTGTGTTCACTTCAAGTACGTGTGTTTATCTTTATGCGAGTCCTGGCCTGCTCAGAGTACTTCAATTCCTGGGTAATGGAAAGACCATCAGAAACCTGAATCTCATCATCTTGTTTCATAAATGAATCACTCGAGCAAAAAGAAGAAAACAACTTACCAAAAAAAAACCCACTAAGAACAATCCAAACACAAACACAACACTGAGATTTTGTCTCTGCAACTTGAAGGCCAAATTCTTCACTGGAGTAAATTTACAATGACAGCAGAAATTCACATTTAAAATATGTTGCATAGGAGTAAAGGGCTAAGACAAAATCCAGGAGCCACTTTAAGCTGATCATAGTTCAGTGTTCCACATGAGCAACACAGCTGAGCACGTATTTTTCAGTACCTCTGAAGTCCTGTGTACTTTAGTTCAACTTCTGTGTGATAATTCTACTAAAAGAGGCAAGAACTAAAAGAATATCTTTCTCATTAAACCTTCTTAAGCCTTCCTCATTAAACCTTAGAAATATGTGGAAGAAAATATAACTGATTCTGTTAACAGATCCATTTGCCATCACATTAAAATGTAAGTTCAGAAGGTTCATACCCCGTGTTCTGGTAGTAACATCAAATCTTACACACCACGGCTAAGCCCCTGCTTTCATCAGAAAAGGTCAAGTTTAAGCAGTAGCTCAGAAATCCAGGGCAGCCTAATAATTCTTTGCTGACACCAACTAGCAGGTCACTATAGAATAAAGAGACAATTCTTTATCTTTTCATAGTGATTATAGCCAAAATGGTAATATAATTATGAAATAGGAAAAGGCCTGAGAAGTCTGCAATACTAATTCCATTTTTATTATATTCCCATAGAATCACAGAATGGTTTTGACTGGAAAGGACCTTAAAGATCATCCCATTCCAAACCCCCTGGCATGGGCAGGAACACCTTCCACAGGACCAGGTTGCTCAGAGTCGCAGCCAGCCTGGACCAGTTATGTTCTTGTCTTCCTTCTCTAGCACATGGCTCTCCAGTGGTGCCTCTGTGACCCTGAGACTTTATAAAAACTATGCATATAATTATGCTGACTCAGGCAATTATTAATCCTCCTTGTCTTTCTATAGCTTCAGGGAGACTTACACGGAGTTGATTACCAGGTACCGCTCCGTTTATCCCGCTGTTCCTTGCACAATCCCGTTGCCCAACACCAGACTTCACTGCTGCCTGCCGAGCTTGCTGTGGCTGCATGCCATGTGCTCGGAGTGTTCCCAGGACAGCACGGGCTCCTGCCCTGAGAGCCTGCATTGCTCCCTGCCTCCTGCTCAGGGCCTTGCCACGGAGGCAGTGTGTGAGCCAGCACTTGCTCCATGCAGCACAGAGCTGCCAACACGGGAATTTCTGCCTGCTGCGGTGCAAAATAACCAGGAGGGACCAAAAGAGTGTCATGAATTTAGAGTGAGATTCAAGGGCACTGTGCCGCTGTCTCCTCTCCTTTATCAGGCTCTGACAGCCCATTAGTAATGGCATCAGATGGGGTGTTTTATTGTCTGAAATTGTAGAGATTCTGGGACTAATTGCACAGCCACAGAGTGTGCAATGCTATTCCAGATACCCCAGAGTGTCCCTTCCCCAGCCCCAGCCCAGCCTCAGCAAGTTAAGGGTCTTGCAGGTGGCTGTCACATCCCCAGCTCCATGCAGGTGTCCTGGATGCCTTCAAGTATTTCTAAGACAGACCATGAATCCTGTGTTTAGGCATCTGAATCGCTTACTGACTGTCAAAAGCAACGCCAGCTGATGGAATATATTTCATTAAAACTGCCCATAATGGAAGATGGTGTTTCTAAGTGAGCTCTTAGTTCCCTTATTTTTGCATTTGCAGCCTGTGCTTTCTGAGGGAAAGGTCAAATTTGTGAGGAAGCTGAATGCTGCAAAATGGATGTGTTTGTTGGAAATGAGAACTTGTGATATTTGAATTGTCACTGTAAATTTGCAGATTTCTGTTGGCTAAGAGAAATAGACATTTTTCAAACTGCTCTGTAATGTGTCCTTCCCAGCACTGTCAATGCCAGCAGTGATTGCTGTCTGACAGAAGTGCCTGAGACTGCTGCAACACAAACATTCCTCAACACTGACCCAGATAACCTGTGCTATTGAACAAATTACACAGGATAACATCATTATCTCCTTATTCTGAGGCCTAAAAGTTAGATGTCTATGAAGTTTGGCACCTTTTCCATTTGCAACAGGTGAAGGAAAGAAACAGGCCTCTCCAGAAGACAATTTTTAAACTAAAAATAGATGCATCAAATGAGCACAAGGATCACACTTTGTGTGTGCTATTTCTTTCTACCACTTGCAGCGGAATCTGCTGCTCTCTCTGGACTGAAAACTCTGCAGGAGTAGCTTTGTTCAGGCTCAGATAGGACAGATCCATAGGATATCCTGAGTTGGAAGGGACCCACAAGGATCATCGAGTCCAGTCCTGAGTCTGCACAGCACCACCCCAAGATGTGTGCCTGACAGGTTCATGCTCTGCCTTTGTACACTGAAGGGCAAAACAGGACAGGTTATTGCCCTATCTCACAATAATTTAAAATGAGTTGCTGATATTTTTTGTAGGCCTAAGTATAAAGTGTATCTCTACAAATATAGTGCCAACTGAAATAAATTCAGTCAACAGTGTTGCCAAATGCAATTGTCACTGTGATTGCCTGCTAATGACTTCACAGAAAACCTTGGGGTCCTGGGCAGAAGCTTTCAAGTGCAGTTCCTAGAATCTTCTCCTTCCTTGTGGATCTGAGATGTGACAAAGGAAATGAAGGAGGGAGAGGAAAAGGAAGGAGGGAGGGAGGCAGGAAGGGAGACAATCTGAGTTTCATGGGGAGAGAAACTGAATCTCCAAACTTAGATACGTTAATTTTTGTTCTAACTTCAATGACACATATATTTAAAATATTTTCAATCAAGCCCAGAGAAAAAATTAACTTCTTGTGCAAGGCTGCTTTTGTTCTCAGACTGTAGTTTTTCTGTTTGCATTTCTTATGCCATTTTCTTCATCCACTCAGCCATCTATTTTGAGCTTGATTTGACATGAATTTCCTCCTTGCCTTTTTTACATATACTTACTCATCTCCACTGACCTTATTTTGACTCTTAGCAAGTGACACACTTATGACATATGCACACACTCACAGGACTAGAATGCATTCAGGTACATTCGCTGTTTACCTTCAGGCTCCACACTGTCCTTGCTTCTCACCAGAAGCCACCACTGAAAAAAGTCAGTGTCCCAGGTATTTAATCTGTTCCTTGAACCTAGATGTTGCCTGGTGAATATATAAAAATATGGTAGGAAGTCTTTAATTTCTAAATTCCACATTTGCATGCATTCTAACATGACGATGATTACCTTGCATTTTCAGTATCTTGTTTAAATGTCACAGTCCTTCAATGCTCCAGCTGTTTGAGGCTCTTTGGCACATGATGCAATGAGGTTATCTTGGCAAACTTCTGACTGGGCTGGGCTCCATATCTCAGAAAGCACGGCCATGGCTGGCAGTGTTTACTCCCTAGGTGACTATTTCAGCAAGTGCTGAATGAGTGTGGAAACCAGATCAGGGTTGAGCCACGCTGGCAGAATGACACAGGGAAATCCAGGCACATAAATAAGGGACTTCAGCTCCTGGAGCTGACAACACAGCATCTATTGCAAGTGGCTAAATAAATAAATAAACCAAAATGCCTTTGATATCAGCCCTAAAACTGCATATCCTGTTGCTAACCTGAGATAAGCACAAGTCCTTTTCATAAGTAGGAACGCACGTGATCCGATGGCTTCACACTGCTGCTGTCTCTTTTCCCTTTCCTCTCGAAAATGCCAACACTATTGGAAAATCAATTTTATAGAACTTGTCCACTGCTTGCTGTGCTCTTGCCAAGACCCCGGAGTAGTTCACAGCACGCTGCTCTGTGCCTAACAAGCTCCTGTGCTGCAGGCCTTGTCAGCCGTGCTGCTCTCTGCCCGTGACCCAGCTGTGTGCTAACCTAGGTGGCTACTGCACCTCCTCTTGCAGATAATAAAACACAGAACAGCATCCTCAGCTAGTGAGATAAAAGGCATTTCTGGAAAACATGCCCAGTTCTATTATTCTTTATTTATGAAGGCTTCTGTATGTATGGAGAACTTCCAAAAAGGCTTTGGAAGAGATTTGCATTTCTGAAGAATATTTAGAACTTACAGTATCATTTTTTTCCAGTCCCCAGATAACAGCAGTACTTTATATAGTTGTCTGCAATGTGGAATGAGGGAGGGACAGGCATTCTTTGTTGCAAAACTGCTGCTGGTCATTGGCCATGCTTCAGCACAGCTCACAAACAGGCTTCTGCAGAAGGGCTGTCATAGATATTTAGGATCTGCAGACTGTGCTTGAAGAGCTCTACGGACATTCATTCATGCACCTGGCAGAAAGCAAACCTGGCCTAATCCCTGGGAACAAGGTTCCCACACAGATAGTTTTCTTACACTGAGTGCACTCTGTGGTTGCCCCACTATTGGACACAGTGAAGGCCTTGGAAAAGAACAAAAATCTTTGACCTGACGTTGTCCTTTATTTATATTAATTCTGGGAGTCCTACCAGGCATCAGCTCCAGACTTCTACAGAAGGCTTTTTCTTGCCATACACATAGGCTTTTCCCAAGTTACACACGATACAGGTGCAGAAACACCTGGTATTTTATCATGGATCACCACACAGACTCGGGTTAGGTTTTTCTACCTAGTCTCTTATTATTTTTTCACTTTCTCACCCATTCATCCGTGTATCCATATACCCATTGTCTTTCTTACTGTTCCTTTATAGTCCTGCTGCAGACACACCTCCAGTCAAGCCAACTGACCTTGGCTCACTCAACCAGTGTCCCAGGCAGCTCTGAAGGCCCATTCAAGTACAGCTTTTAAAAAGCCATTGTTAGGGACAGAGAGCAATTCCATTTTTTCTACAGCCTAAAGCGGCTGCTTTAGACTCCTCTGCTCTATATGAACTTCCCTGAGTATTTCACTGTCAGATTTATTATATCCAGAGCAATACTGATGTCCCAAAACTAAATTCAGAGCATTCTGTATTATCTTGTTCTGCAGCCAGTGCAATGAAACAGCTCTGTGCTGCTTTCCAAGAGGTGATTCTCCCATGATGTTTCATAGCAATTCCAGTCAATTCAGAGCAAATGCCATTTCTCTGCAGGTCATATCTCTGCCTCCTTTCTCTGTAAAACTATTTGATGATGCATTTATTTTGGCAATTTCCAATTCAGATACATTTTTGTATGCTTTTCCCTCATGCTTCTCCCATTTTTGTATAATGGATATTGTGCCTGCAGTGATTATACCAACACTGGTTATTTATTTTCTCACATATTAGTTTGAATATGCCTCTATTAATATGGCTAATATTTGTCATATGGTCACTTTTTTTGGTAGGAATTACTTGTGATTTTACAGTACCAAACACAGCAGCAGACTTGACTGTAACTAATCCAAATTTATTGACATACAATTACCTGACTATATTTACATGAGTCTGGAGAAGGAAAGATCCAGCAATCACTGGCAATCTCCATCTACTTATGCCAGACATTTCTCTCTGCAGCACACACTTGATATTCCCAAAGCTTTGGATTTCAAGCTTTCTGATAGTCCTGGTCTTTAAGGCAAAAATAGATATGGTACTTTGTTCTGCTTCAGGCATGTGGTTGGCCACAGGCATTTATCTGACATTAAGGAAAGATACTTTGTTTGATTAAAAAAACCTTTTGTCTTTCTTGATCCAGAATTTGGCGTTCAAGTACAGCAAAATAACCATCTAAACCGCTGACAGGGCAGGCAGCTCAGCAGAATTACTGAGAATAAAAGTAATTTTTTTCTATTCTGTGTGAAAAAAGCCAAAGTTAAACAATTTGAAAATTCATTTATTGCTCATCTAAACCACAACGAGTTTCTGCTGCTGCAAATGTCTCCCCCTTCCATTCTTAGTATGTCTGTTATAGACCCATATCCTTCCCTCTGAGTTTGTACATGTTTGGTGGCACTGCTGGTCACATCATACCAGAACAAAGAAACCACAGTTATCAATAAGGATGTCACTACAGTAAACAGCTATAAATTCCATCCTACCCAGTCATTATTCTGGGAACTGTATGGGGATAGGCACTGAATCTCTGTAGACCTCATAATGTGGAAAGCTCTGTCAAACTCTTTGCAGTGAAATACCTTGGTATTGGAGGAATGCAATGTGCAAACATTTTTAATAAATAGTATTCAATATCAGTGTGAGAAAGGGAAGAGTTCATCAATAGAATAATAATATGTTATAATGAATATGTGTAATACACAAATGAACATAACAGCATTATTCTCACAAATTCCATATATAAATCATGTGTTTTATTGTGATGGTTTTATCATCTCTAAGGCTAAACCAAATCATTTTCTGCTTCATGTTGTACATTTTCTCCAAAAGGCCCAAGCTGGAGGTGAAAACGTGGCTTCTGGAGTATGGAGATCTGCAATTTTGTCCTCAATCAATAAAGTCAAGCACTTGGGAAAGTCTTTGTGGGACCAGCTGCTCAGGAGGGCAGAAGCTGGGCTGGCAGCTTCAGCTGGGGACAAGGACTTCATTCCCACCATGTGTGTGCCTGAAGGTGCAACAGGCTGTGGCACTGCCCCCAGCCCAGCTGGGAACACGGTCATGGGGCAAAGCCCAACACATACAGCTTTTCTTTTAATTACTGGATCACAGAACGTTAAGGGTTGGAAGGAACCTTAAAGATCATCCAGTCCCAACAGCCCCTGCCATTGGCAGGGACCAAGGCCTTATCCAACCTGGCCTTGAACACTGCCAGGATTGGGGCATCCTCAACTCCCCTGGGCAACTGTTCCAGCGGTTCACCACCCTCACAGTAAAGCATTTCTTCCTAATAGCTAACCTAAATTGCCTGTCTTTCAATGTGTACCCATCACTCCTGCACACAGGACTCAGAGTGAAGCGCTTCTCTAACAAACCTCGTGGCACGCCTCCGGACGCGCTCCCGAGCGGCAGCCGCGGCCCCTGAGGGCTCAGGGCGGCGGAGCGGGCGGGTTCTGCCGGNGGGCTCTGCGGGGGCTCGGGGCAGAACCGCCCCGATGCCTGAGAAGCGATGGTTTGCTTTGCTTTTGGCGTTGCCTCGCTGCAGACGGATGGTTTCTTGCCGTCTCCTACGTGGTGTAGCCCAAATAAATCTCGTTCTCGGCCTTACCGTGCCGTGCCCGGTGTGGTTGTGTGGTGTCAGAAGCTGTGAATCGCTCCCGGTGCGCAGGGAGAGCACAGGGGAGCAGGATGGATTTTCTCCTTAGGAGACAGTTAAGTGACTAAGTGTTCTGAAAATGTCTAGGGCGATAATTTACTTGTTAACTTTTTGCACAATGCCAGACACCGTGCGGCCGCCTTGCAGGTCGTGTGTGGTGCACGGTGGGTTGAAAAGCTTGGGCTCGAGTCTGTGTGTTTGAGCGAGGAAGGAAGTGCAGCTGAGACTCTGGCAGTGCCAAGCCTGCAGCTTTCAGTGCGGTGTTACAGCTGTGAACGTGCATTCCCAAGAAATGAGGCCTCAGAAGTCTTGTTGGTTCAATATGTTGTGATCTGTTCCTATCTGAGAGAAAACCTGCTGTAAAACATAAGGCTTAAAAGGAGAGTCTCTGCTGTCTGCAGGAACTGTGGCCTCCTATTCAGTAGGGACTGGAGTCTTTAGAGATGATAATTTAATTTCCATTAAAGGTGATGATAGTATATATCTGTGCTGTGCCAGGACATTGTGTGTCTAGGCTGTCTGGGGCACTGAAGAATATTTCCTGAGCACTGATAACTTTGCTCCATTCCCCAGTTGCTTTGTGGTATGCCAGAAGCTCTTAGGGTCAGTGGAAAATCTGGAAACAGATAAAACAAATAGGAATATGTGTAGGGTGAGAAACCACCAGGTGCAAACGACTGCATCGTGCTAGTTTCAGACCTTGAATTACTTTTATAAATGTCTGTCAATATGTACCTACCCAGGTGCCCTCACTGTGGTCAGTCTGTTTATCTGCTAATAAAAATATGTTGCTCGTGTCTTGAATAACTTGCACCTGCAGTGCTTGTGTAGAAGCAGTAAGAGATTTCCTTCCTGTTGCATTTAGATAAGCCTTCACCATTAAATATGTATTTGCTGAATGGCATATTAAAAAAGTGTAAATTACACAAATGTAGGCTTTATGATTTGGAAGTGATTTATACCGGAATAAAATTGGACTTTCATTTGATCATCAGCATTTCTAGGAGAAAAACCGGTAAGAGCCAATCAGTGTTTGCATTAGTATTGCCATGTGGGACAGTACATGATTCTTAATTAGGCTAATAATTCCTGTAGTTGAAGAATTACAAGAAGCAGAATCTTGTTAGAGGGAGATACCAAGAGAGAGTATAAAATGGGTAAATAATCAATGCAGGGAAATTATTG